CCCCCATGCATCACTGCACCAAATCAGCCAAGCAAGTCGTGTTCAAACCCATTATGTCCACCAAAGTGTGTACATTGCATGTGAAGTATAACCAAGCGCCTGATCTGGTCCTGCGGAGGACCCTGGATACTAGTCTCGGGGGGCATACTTTAAGCTAAGTGTGTTACATCTTACAGCCCATCTCTGGTCAAAACATGAACCCCCCCTCCTACACCCCTCAAGGCTAAGCTTGCCTTGATAGACTGCAGGAGCTGCAGCCATACTGAATGTAGTGCAGGAGGAGGGCAGTCATTGGAAACATTGTGGCAGCCCCCCCTTTGCTGTCAGTACTCTGCTGGGAACACTTCTGCTAGTAGTCATTAAAGCAAATCTTATTTCTTGTGTTTCTCCTCCATTCAGGTGTATCCCATGGCCGTGTTAGCAACAGCTGAGAGGGGGTTAATCGTATACCAGTTGGAGAATCAGCCGTCTGAATTTCGGAGGATTGAATCCCCATTAAAGCACCAGGTAAGTCTTTGTGGGAGGAATAAAGGTGAACAGAACAAACGGAATGTCATCCATTGGAGGATGGAACATAATCTGGATCTGATGACTTACACATTGAACTGTCTTGCATGGCGGAGCCGTTCACATCTCTGATATTCCCTCCTAGCACCGATGTGTCGCCATATTTAAAGATAAACAGAACAAGCCGACCGGATTTGCCCTGGGCAGCATAGAAGGTCGAGTTGCCATCCAATATATCAACCCCCCCAATCCGTGAGTGGTCTCTGCTGTTATATTATGTTCTGCATAGTGGGTAGTTATGTGCACCTTCATGTCTGCCCTTCGATCTGGTTTCACCCTCCCTTGTTACTGTCTGCAGAATCTAAAACTTCTCTTGTGTTGCACCTCTACTTTGGGGTCGCTTGCTCTGGCAGACTCTCCTCTAATACTCTGCCTTTTCTGAAATCCACAGCTCTGCTCTTCTCACATTTATCACACACCCAGATCAGCATTTCCCTTCCACTCATCTTATTTATTGGTGGGATTACATAATACCAGGGGTAGGCAAACTCCGGCTCTTTGGCTGTTGTGGAACTACAAATCTTATGCAAGACTTTAACAGCCACATGCATGATATATGATAAGATTTGTAGTTCTTCCTCTGCTGGGGGGCCGTTGTTAGCCTACCCCTGCATTATACTCTTACTCCCTGCTTCCTTACTAAATCCACGGCTCGTATTTAAAGTAGAACTATGAGGTGAGTGATTTCCACTCATCCTCATAGTTGGAGCCGACAAAGAAGCTGTCACAGGTCGGTTCTATCGATCAGGAAGTGAGCAGAAACATGCCGCCGATCCACTCACTTCCCCATCATCTCCCTGCAGTGAGCGGGGAATGTCGGTCACCGCTCCCCGCAGGGATTCCCCCCTCTCTTATCCTCCAGCGCTGAGTGGAGGAACGAGGGAGGGGACAGGTACAGCTGGCTTTGCCTCTAGATAGACAGAGCCTGCTGTCACTCACACAGCTGGGTGGATCTAAACAGTATTGTCTGAATCCGTCCCGGCTGCGGCGCTCTCAGTATATTGCGGGCATTAGCCCACGATATACTGAGCCTTGGGTCACGGGAGGAGGTTAGTAAATGTCCTCCTCTGACCCCATAGTTCCCTTAAGTCTTTCAGGATCTTTTCGTGATATCTGCTCAGCTAGAATCCGGTAAGTGCGTTCAAGAGCATCTACACCTTAAAACACACACACACACATGTACGGATGACAGTAAGTTGGCCCAGTGCTGCCAGCCTAAACGTGAAAGTATCCTTTTGTATCGGAAAAGTCTATTTCCCAAGCTGCACATGAGCCGCAAAGGTTTACAACCTCCAAAACCGGCTCATTCTCTGACCTGAAACCCCAGCTTTGGCCCCAGAAAAAGTAAATACCCTTGTAGTGGGGCTTCCATGCACTTCAAGGGTTAATGCTCGTTGGGTGTAGGGGTAGAAGAGTACGCTGTAACACTTACATTTGTATTCCAGAGCCAAAGACAACTTCACATTTAAATGCCATCGGTCCAACGGGACAAACACGGCTGCCCCCCAGGACATCTATGCTGTACGTATGCGGAGATTGTGGTGATATGGGGTTATGCTGGGGATCTGCCGTCCTCTGACTCCCGATTCCAGTGTCATTGATGGAACTTGTACAGACTCACACAAGGTCCCCTGCTAATGAAATGTCTCCTCGCCCAGGTAAACGGCATCGCCTTTCATCCGGTACACGGCACGCTGGCCACCGTCGGCTCCGACGGACGCTTCAGCTTCTGGGACAAAGACGCCCGAACCAAACTAAAGACGTCAGAGCAGCTGGACCAGGCCATCTCTGCTTGCTGCTTCAACCACAACGGAAACATCTTCGCCTACGCCGCGAGCTACGACTGGTCCAAGGTCAGCGCATCGATTTAATGTCTGATTCCGGGGGGGCCCCTTCCCTACCCGGTACCCTCCAGATTTCATAACTTGAACTGTTAGAAATGTGGAGACTGACATGTTGCTGGTCTTATCGCTGTGGCTTCAGTAGGAAACATGCCAGCGGGTCAGATTGCTCCGGGTTAGTGACTGTGGAAGTATTAAACGAGAACTATGGGGTTAGGGCTTTTCCCCATAGTCCTCCTAAGGCTAACGGGAGGACACGAACTAGCGTCCTCCCGTCACCCAAGGGTCATTATATAGCAGGCTACAGCTCGCGGTATACTGAGACGCCGGAACGGATCCCACAATTCTGTCTGGATCCACCCAGCTGCGTGACTGACAGCTGGCTCTGCTTATCTAGAGGCAGAACCAGCTGTACCCGCCCCCGTCCATTCCGCCAGTCAGCGCTGGAGGAGCGGGGAGGGGGGGAATCTCTGCAGGGAGCCGTGAATGACAGTGACTGCTCTATGCACGGATAGATCGAGAAGTGAGCGAGCGACGGTATGTTTTCGCTCACTTCCCGATCTGCTGAGCCGACTTGTGACAGTGTCATTGTCACAGGTCGGCTCAGACTAGGAGGCTGAGTGAAAAGTTCTCCTGTAAAGCCAGAGTAGGGCAGCTTTAGCAGTTCAAGTCAGCAAGGCAGCCCTTGTGTGCAGATTCTCTTTAACCCGGATCTGATAGGAAGTAAAGGGTATAGGAAGGTCACGCACAGCACGTAGTTTCCATTGGGAGGGGATTTATTTACATTTCACTCTAATGCAGAACCGTTTCCTCTCCTTTCAGGGCCACGAATTCTACAACCCGCAAAAGAAAAACTATATCTTCCTGCGGAACGCCGCGGAAGAACTGAAGCCGCGGACTAAGAAATAATACAACTCCACCATGGCGTTATTTGAAGCCCGGTTCTGAATACCATCCTTTGGAGAGATTAAAACTTAAAGGGGACATTCATAAAACGGCGGTACGGCTTTAGGGTAGGCGTAGCGCTGCTTTACAAAAAAAGGACAAGGGTGTGCTTTACAAGAGTGCTTAGCGGCTCTGCTGGTTTTGGGACTCCAAAGCCGGCAAAGTGCGCACTGTTATATGAGACTGCCTCTCCTCCAATCACAGAGTTGTCCCTCCATAGGATAGCACAGGCACCATGCCCCGACCTGCATTTTATGAATGGGCCACGTTATTGAGCACGGAGTATAACTGAGAGCAGATAGCGATATCCGCTCTCCGTTACAATCCGCCCCAATAAATGTTTCCTCCGGCGGATTCATATAAAGTTTAGTTTCCTTCAAACCACATAAGATCAGTCATTTTTAGTTTGCTCCCGCTGCACTGCAGGACCCCCGCCAACGTCCGCACTGCAGGAAGACGCCAGCGCTGGTGTCTTCTCTCTCCGCCCCTCAGCACCATTTATGCTCAACCATTCACAAAACGCGGCCCATGCGTTCTGCGCTTGGCAGCGATAGGCACTCTTTAATCTTTCCCAAGGGTGGTGCCCAGAGTTAGCGTTGAATGTTTATTATTGTTTATATATTTGTTATATTTTTTTTTTTAATATTTGACTTCCTGTTATGACGTTGTGTAATTTTAATATCGGTGATGCCTCGGTCCGCTCCATGTCCGCGAGCCTCGGTCCGCTCCATGTCCGCGAGCCTCGGTCCGCTCCATGTCCGCGAGCCTCGGTCCGCTCCATGTCCGCGAGCCTCGGTCCGCTCCATGTCCGCGAGCCTCGGTCCGCTCCATCTCGGCGAGCCTCGGTCCGCTCCATCTCGGCAAGCCTCGGACACTTGCAGGTCCATTGGCTTAGCAAGCGAACACTGAAAGCCCGGCGGGGTCAGCAGCCTGGAGAGGAGTCGGCTCATTTGGGGGCCGTGGTCGGGGAAGGAATTATGGGTAACGGTCATGTAGGTTGTGAGGACTCGCAGTGGTAATCTGGTGATGGAAGACTGCTCTGCGTATCGATGACCCGAATCTGTTCTGCTGTTTTATGAGAAACGCATAGAACCAATTTTTTTTTCCTATAATAAAAACCTCTGTTTACTACTATTGTTCTTTTTGTGTTACTTTCTGCTGCTCTTCCTCCATCATATGTAGGACGTCATACATGTTTACTCCTCATTCCGGGGCTGCACAGTGGCAGTCACAGTTTATACTGAGACTAGCGCCATCCACTGGACAACGTGGTACCTCCTGGCTGCCGGAATGTTCTCCAGCCGGATGGTTCTTTGGGTTGTAGATGAATGGGGAAGGGTTGGAATCTCTGCCTCCTCGCTAGGAAGTTCTATTCTATATATTCTAATCTTGTAGACATAATAGGAAGTCCTATGTTTTACAGTTGTCACCAGAGCAGGCGGGAGATTTCCCCTCTCTTCCTGTTAAGGGGACAACTGTAAAGTGTGTGAGATGATCCTCGCTTCGTGTCCCGGGGCAATGGACGTGAGAGGGAATCCGCCAATGTAACAGAAGGTGGCAGGGAAAGAAAAAAACTTCCAAGAAGGAGAAAAGGGATCGCGGCTGACCGCTGTTTCTCGTCCATTGAGGGACACCGGAAGTCTTTCACCTTCGGGTTATCCTGCCGCCTGCAGAATGATTGGGCACTGGCAATCAAAAAAAAATACTGTAGGCAAGCCCAAGATAACCCCTCCTACTCCCAGCATGCCTCAGTTTGTTGCTAGTATCCTGAGAGGACAGATGTCTCTTCTTCTTCAGCTCTGCTGTTAGGATTAAGCTATCTGCTGGCTCATGTTCCAATGACGTCTCCTCTGTGCACGGCTGCTAGAGCCGGTCTCTGCGATTGGAGCTAGGCGGCGCAGCTCAACTCAACCTGGCTTTTGGAGTGGTCGCAACCAAACATTGAGGGGTTCCACCTCCAGGCTCTTTCCTGAACCCATTCTGGTAACTGGAGGGCACTTCCCGTGTCCCTGAAGACTTGCTTTGGGGATAGGCTGGGCACCAGGTGGCACCTCATTTGCATAAGGTCACTGGGCGCCTCTAAATTCCCTATTTCTCGCCGGTTTTGGCCACGGGAGGGGTTAATGTTGTGGAACTGAGCGCTGAATTCATACGCACTCTCTTCCGCCATATACCGTAGAGGAAGCATCTCCCTGCTGCTGGTACTGCTTGCAGGATCCTTGGCTGCTTCCTACTGTCCTTCTACAGTGAGCAAGGTCGTCTCCAGCCACCCGACTCTGCTACCAGCATGCTAGGGTTTAGGCGAGTACCTGAGGCCTTGTATTCTGAGCCTATGTTGCCTTACCTCCCATGAGGCCGTTCCTAGACACAGAGGGGACAGTCCCTGCTGCAACGGGTGGCCTCAGCTCCCAACAGTTGTGGAGATGTTTCTTCTGAAGGTACCTACCTCCTGCAACCCGGAATCCGGTTATGCTTTGCCTATAGACAGGCCTGGATTTCCCACAAGGCCCGGCCTCAGGGCAGCAAGGAGAAGAGGGGCAGCAGGGGTGTGGAATTCCTATCTCCTGATGCCCAGGACATACAGTTCTGGGCGCCGGGCGGGTAGTTGTTTCTACATTTAGCTCGGCTTTGGGCAAGCAGAGCTAAATGTACAGCAGGGAAGCCGCCACTTGTTTTGTACAAGTGATCCCGGCGATGGCGCTGAGATCACTTGTATACAGCCTGCAGGTCTGCCATTCTCTAGGGGGGGAAGAACCTGGCCTTGGGGCAGCAGAGAGAGTAAATCCGGCCCTGCTTATAACAATATACCTAGCAGAATATTAAATTGATAGCGCAAAAGAAAGCAAATGTGACAAGATAATATATTTATTAAAAGATTACTATGTGAACCCTGGCCAAGTGGGGTGGGGTCCCTCCAGACTTTATGGCTCGGTTCACCCACTGTCCTGGCTGGTTTTGACTGCAGAACCAGGACGTTCTTCTGTCCGCCTCCAGTTCTTTAAAAACACATATTTGGATGTGCAGGTCTTTCTCCCGGGCACTGCTCCTTTCTGACTCCCTTTATTTCATTCTAAATGGATTCCAGAAGCGTGCCCCCGCTCCTCGTTCTACCGAAAGCACCATTCAAACCTATGGTGACATCACCAACATCAACAAGGAAGATTTGGAATATATGCCATCCTCTACCCCGGGTGGCATATTGGAGGTTGTCAGGATCCATCTATGTACCTGTGCTAGGTGATGATGACATGGGTGGGGTTCAGTGCTGCTGCTGCTCCAAGTCAGCCTGTAGTGCCTGCTTTTGGCCACTGGGGGCAGCGCTGTTGCTACAATATGTCTACCTGCAGTGCACCAAACCTGCCACTAGGTGGCAGCGTTGCTCTTATAATGCGCCGTTCCCGGGCTCTATCATCATCACGTAGAAACAATAGGCTGCAGATCCCTTCACTTAAAAAAAAAATTGTTTACAAGTCAGCGGAGGGTGAGCTGAGTGACGCCACTTCTGATTGGCTGCCAGCGGATATTCTAATGTATTGCACTCAGTAGCATGCACTAGGACCGGTTTCATGTCCTAGTGATGTACAGTATTGGCTTTTTAAAGATGGCGGGGAGGGGTGGGGGAGCGGAGTATCTGCAGTTTTCCTGAACACAACAGGAAGTGAAAACAAATCTCCCCAAAAGGGTGGGGAAATCCGCTCTCAGCCAGAACCACTCGGGTGAATCCTTGCCGTGGGAACATGACGGGGTTATGCTTTAGGTCAGTACACCAGGAAAGTGGTCACACGACCGGGCACCGGCTAATGCAATTTAGGTCAGTGCACCAGGAAAGTGGTCACATGACAGGGCTCCGCAGGTACAGAGTAATAGTTCCTTTTCTGTTCATGTGTCTCCAATGACTGGACTACAAACACCTAGCTCTATAAGAAGAGGGGGGTGTCCTGTAGTCCCCACACACTTCCTGATAGAGGACATCGCTGGGCAGATGTAACAGAATGCTCCTTAATGAGGGCGACTGGGATGGGTCACGTGACCACTGCTTGCAGAGGTCACATGGTACCAGACGGGCCAAC